TCCCACGTCGCCATCTCGCGGCGTCAAAGAGGATCTCTCGGAGCTCAGCAAAACCCTAACCCGTCAATTCTGGGGCGTCGCCTCATTCTTAGCACCTCCGCCGCAGCCCGAGCCGATATCCGACTCGGGGGTGTCGGAACAGGATCAGGGCTCGATTTTGGGGATCCGAAGTGACTTTGCGGAGATTGGGGGCAGGTTCAAGAGCGGGATTTCGAGGCTGTCGAATAACATCAATGTTTCTGAGTTTACTAAAATGGCAACCAATTTGCTGCAATTGGAATCGGACGATGAGAATGACGGGACAGGTAACAGAGAGAGTTTCGAGCCCTTTGGGGAAGGAGCTGTGGGCCTGACTGAGAAAGTGGTGGCTTTTGTTCGTGACATTGCTATGCATCCAGAGACCTGGTTGGATTTCCCATTGCCTGAAAATGTTGGTAAGTTTAACATCACCATTCTGTGATTTGTTTCTGTTGGTCTTTTAGTTGCTCGTTTTGTGTACCTATTTTTGGAGTTACGATAGAATCTAGGTTAGAAGTTGAGCTGGGTAGTTATCGTTGAGTGTGATTAGACTGTGTGGTGGTACCGATGATTAGGTTTCTTAAGGCTATAGTTGAGTGCTGGTTAGTGAAGGTATAATGTGATATCTTGAAAAGTTGAAATAAATGTATTATCTAGATACTGCTGTTAAGTGTTAGTGAGTCAGCTAAGATATTCAATGCCGGTCTGCAATATACATAGTTCATTCGTACACAAATTCTTGCGTGAGGCGGCTTGGCCTTCGCCGTCAAAATTAATACTTCTGTTTATATTATTATATTCATAGTTCATTCATACACAAATTCTAGCGTGAGGCAGCTTGGCTGTTACTATTAATACTTCTATTTATATTACTTTTGAAGTATGATATTTTCTTATGTAAGTACTAAGTATGCATATTCGTAGAAAAGAGTATGTCGGCCTAACATTATACCTACTGTCAGTGGTATGTCTGAAATTTACTTGTTTAATTCATATAAATGGATAGTAGTGTGAAACCTTTACATTTTAGCGAAATGATTCGTTTGAGTTGACAACAGTTTATTGGGTGCTAAGTTTCTCCCGTAATTGTGCAAATTCGTATGAATAAGCTATACGCACACATTTGTTGATGTTTCTTAGATCTAGGCTTGTCAACGGAACATAGGCTTGTACTCATTTGTTTTTGTAAGCTTACTTTGTTTAAAAAATATTACATTTCTTTCGAGTTGCGTACATATTTCTGTGTAGCCAACTCAAGATAAATAAAATGTGTATTGTAAAGAACACAACTCACATCTCATTGTTATGAAAATATATAATTTCACACATACAATCCATGTTTTCTAAAACAAAACATTAAACTTTATACCGGACAGGAAAAAATTCACATTATCAGAGCTATTCCTTATGCAGGCCTTTATAAATGCAAAGATCTGAAGCAAACCATTAAAGCTAATCTAAGTGCTTCCCTACACATTGCTGAAGTGATTTGTGAACTTCATCATCTTCAGTCTTATAGTTTTGAGATATTTGATAAATTTCGACTTTTAAGATAACATAAATGACAATGAAACAATATATTCTTCAGTAAATGGATGGGTAATTAAATATGGGCTTATCTGATCTTTGTTTAAAAAGGGTTAGTGCTCAGATTTAGTTGGCAAACTCATCAAAGTTCTTGCATAATCTAGATCAAACTCAATTGTATGCCAATAAAGTTCTACTCAATTGACAATTTAGACTTTCTGAAATACAAGAGCATCATGATGCTTATATATTAATTTTCAGCTTTTGGCATGTCAGATTACAAAGACAATATGCTCTTGTTTGGTGATGTTTTGCCAAATCATAATATTCATGATCTGAAATTTACATGAGAAAGAATTTTATGTCTTATTCTTTGTAATCCTAGATTTTGATATGACCAATGCCCAACAAGAGCATGCCTTAGCAGTCGAAAGACTGGCCCCAAGATTAGCAGCGCTAAGGATGGAACTTTGCCCTGGATACATGAGTGAAAGCTGCTTCTGGTTGATTTATTTTTTGCTCCTTCATCCTAGACTTGATAAGCAGGATGCCGAACTTCTATCAACACCCCAGGTTTGTCATCATTACTATTCTCCTTGGATTCAAGAATATGATAACTTTAGAAGTTAGGTGATGAGCGCACACATACATTCAGATATGTTAGAGCTCGAGCAATTTTTAACTTTGTTTGGGTGTGAAGTTGACAGCATCTTCTGTTCCAATGGAAAAAAAAAAAAAATTTCGAACAAAATTTATTTGGTATTTAGAAACTACTGCAGTGAACCATATTTAAAAAAAATGGGGTATATCCTAACAAGAAATCTGGAGCATATTCAGACTAAATGAAGCAATGGTTGGCCTGGAATAGTTCCATTTTCAAATAATAATCATGAAAATATTCTTACCATTGGTTCTCTTGGGTTTCATCTCTAGCTTACCCCAACTTGCTTGGGACAAAATGGCTATGTTGTTGTTGTTGTTGTAATCATGAGAATATTCTTTACCTATAAATAGGCATATCTATGTCGGATTATAATTTATATCTAATGATTCAATAAGATTCCTGTAGTAGTATATCTTCATCATTAAGGTCCACAGAAATACATATGCCGTATTAACAGTTGGCATAGTATGTTATGCATTTTTTGTGTTACTTCATTATGAAAACCATGCATGCTATATTTATTTTCCTCGAGTGCTACTGCCAAATTGATTTTTCTGTTCCCGGTCCAGGTACTGGAAGCCAGGGCCTTGCTGGGCCATGAACTAAAGAACAAAAATACGATGGCATCGGGAAGCTCCTGTGGCCAAAAATCTCCGGGCCCTCAGGAGATTGATGTTTCTCATAATGAAGAGCCTCTTTCTGTGCCATCTCCTGTTATTCCTGAAAACGTGCCCAACAAGGCAGCTAATATTAATGTGGGCACTTCAGCTGCTCCCGAAATTGTGAAGGACCCAGTTGAGAGAAATGAAAGCCAAACTGTCAACAAGCCCATCAATCGAGAAAAGGAAGCCGTCCAAGTTAAAGAACAATATATACATAAATCCAGCTCCTCGAGTATTTCTATAGATGAAGACGAAAATGATGCAGATGACTGGTTGAAGGAAGAAACTTTAGATGCAGGAGACCCCATTGGGAAAAACATTTCAATTGAGAATGGGGATGATGTGTCGTTTAGTGATCTTGAGGATGATGATGGTGATGTGCCTGCTAGCTACAGAAAATCGAATTACAGTTCTGATAAGGATTCAAGGGACTGGGTTCAGTTGGGCAAAAGCTCGTCGGACAAGGAGAGCACAAAGGAGCCGAATGACTGGCTAGATGTTGATGACATCGTCGTGTCATGATCCGCCATGTATGTTTTCTTATGTACGTGTCTTTGCCTTGTGAATAGATACAAAACATTAAATATCCTTTTCTTGAATTGAGGCCTTGATAAATTATAAATGATTTGTATATATGATGCACACATGAATACTTGGCATGTTTGTTTTAATATTTCGAAAGTGTTGGGCTGCTCGGTTAAAGCTGCGTCTTTGGAAATTTCTCTGTTCTTTTGGTCATGTGAAGCCCAAGTAATTAGTTAAGTACGGCCTCTACCCGGAGACTCGGATATATTGTTTTAACTGTTGTTTAAAATTGCTCTGAAACCCTAGTTGGCTGCTAATTGCTCCCAACTAGACGAGTCCATTGATAGAAATGAAGTCTTTAACTCTTCAAAGGACATAGAAAGTGTAAGAAGATCAGTGGTTTACGATTTTTAGCAGGGAGCTTTTTAACTAAGGAGTGTACATTATCAATCCCAAAACCTTACGAATGTTCTGCAGCGAGAGGAATATTGTCCAAGTTGGGATGCTTTTGATTGGATATGAGATAATTATTTCAATCTTCTTGAGAGGAACATATTTTGACTAAGAAATGCACTTGATGAGAAAACATTTCTAGTACGTTACAGTCACCTACCTAGCTCCTTGATCAGCCATGATATAATTATATATATAGGTGGAGCTCTCTCCCCATGTATCACCACCAAGAGAACAAAAACAAATCGAAGAGAGATTATAACAAATAAATAAATAAATAAAATATGGTGAAAGTAATAGAAATACCCAAAATTTCCGTGATAAATATTGCAATATTGGTCTTCTGCATTCTCCATATCACAATTGCGAAGAAGCAAACTTTCATCGTTCGTATGGCTACAAACGAAAAGTCGGAGAGTTTTGAAAACAACAACCAACGGTACGAGGCATCGCTGGCATCGGTGTCCAATAGCTCAGCCAAGACGATGTATACATATAAAAATGTGTATGATGGCTTCTCCTCCAGCCTCACGACCGATGAAGCCGAGCACCTGAACACTCTACCCGGGGTGATATCCGTCATCCGGAAGACTATATACGAGCTCCACACAACCCGAACCCCTTTTTTTTTCTGGGTATTGATAACCCTACTAAAGATTTTCCCGAACCCAATATGGTGAGCGAAATCGTTGTCGGACTTTTGGACACAGGCGTCTGGACCGAAAGCTTGAGCTTCCGAGACGACGGGCTTCGCCCCATCTTGTGCAGCTGGAAAGGGGGTTGCGAAGAGCAATTGACTTCAACAAATCCAGTTGCAACAAGAAATTGATCGGGGCAAGGTCATTTTCAAAAGGGTACCTAATTTATCTCAATCATACTGGGAACATGCCTCCGGAAGAGCCAACATTATCCCCACGGGACTACAATGGCCATGGGACCCACACGACGAGCACCGCTACCGGGTCTCATGTTTGAGGTGCCAACCTACTGGGCTTCGCTAGCGGGAAGGCGCGGGGGATGGCGTCCAGTGCTCGAGTCGCCACGTACAAAGTTTGTTGGGAAGCCGGCTGTGTCTATTCCGACGTACTGGCGGCCATGGACCGTGCCATCTCGGACGACGTCAATGTCTTGTCCTTGTCGATAGGCGCCCGTAATATCGAGGATTACGACATGGACCTAATCGCAGTTGGATCTTTTTCTGCAATGGAGAGGGACATTGATGCAGCGCATCCNCTCGTGCTCCGCATGGAACAGCGGCCCTACACCTTCAGAGTTGTCTAACATGGCACCGTGGATAATAACCGTGGGCATGGGGACCCTCGACCGCGACTTTCCAGCAGACGTGGCTCTTGTTAACGGGAGAAATTACCTCAGGGTGTCGCTCTACAGCCGTCGCACGCCACTGTTTGGTGCTATCGTCTATGCTGGAAACGTGAGCACCAACAGTAGTAGCACGTGTACCAACGGGACCCTCATCTCTAAAAAAGTCAAAGGTTAGATTGTGTTGTGTGAGCCTGGGGTGAATCCTAGAGTTGAGAAGGGCGTAGTGGTCCAAGAAGCTGGGGGATTAGGGATGGTATTGGCTAACACCGATGACTACGGGGAGGAGTTGGTGGCCGACGCTTACTTGATACCGGCCACGATGGTCAGTGCAAAGGCAGGCGGTGAGATAAAAAGGTATTTGTTGTCCCATAAATCAAAGGCCAAGGTCAGCATTATGTTCAGAGGGATAACTAGGATGGGCGTGAGCCCTTCCCCGATTGTCCCGGCCTTCAGCTCTAGAGGACCAAACCCTATCACCCCCGAAATCCTAAAATTGGGCCTCATTGCTCCCGGGGTCAACATCCTTGCTGGATGGACAAGTGCACAGGGTCCCACGGAGTTAGATATCGACAAACGCAAAGTCCAATTCAACATAATATCTGGCACGTCCATGTCGTGCCCCCACGTCAGCGGCCTCGCGGCTCTGCTGAAGGCGGCCCATCCAGAGTGGAGTCCACTTGCGATCCGCTCGGCTCTTATGACCACAGCTTACTCGAGT